CCATAGTTCCCCCATGCCGGCTCAGGAATTCTGGGAATTGAAGTCCACGAGTCATGAGGGGGCCATAGTTCCCCCATGCCGGCTCAGGAATTCTGGGAATTGAAGTCCACGAGTCATGAGGTGGCCATAGTTCCCCCATGCTGGCTCAGGAATTCTGGGATTTGAAGTCCACGAGTCATGAAGGAGCCATAAGTTTCCCCATGCCGGCTCAGGAATTCTGGGAGTTGAAGTCCACGAGTCATAAAAGAGCCAAGGTTGCCTACCCGATTTAGTGGCTGTTCGAAGTTACAACTTCACTGGAAAAAGTGACTGACGAACGTTTTTCACACTTACGATCTTTGCAGCCCTTCCCGTGATCACATAATCAAAATTCAGACCCTTGGCAACTGACACACATTTATGACGGTTGCAGCATCCTGGGGTCACGTTATCATCTCTTGCGACCTTCTGACAAAATCAGTGGGGAAGCCAGATTAACTTAACAACTGTGTTATTAACTTAACAACTGCAGTGATTCAAGATTGTAAAATGGGGCAAAACTCATTTCACAAATGCCTCGCTTAGCAGCAGAGATTTTGGGCTCATTCTTGGCCGTAAGTTGAGGACCACCTGTACTTCCTAGATTTTAAATTTAAACGAGGGATGCTAGGCACGGACCTGCTTTTTTAGGTTATTTTGAAACGGCTAATTTTAATAAGAGCTTTTGATGGTACTGTCTTATCAAACAAGGAAGGAAAGAAAATTGACCGTTTGACAAAACGGCGGTTTACACGGAACGGCGGGAAGATTATCCCAGTGATTAAATATCCCCCCCCCCTTTTTTTTACAGGAGAATCAGGTTTGGGAAAATCCACTTTAATCAACAGTTTATTCCTGACGGATTTGTATCCTGAACGTTACATCCCTGGAGCTGGAGGTAATTTGGGGGTTTTTTTTTTTTTCTAAATCGGCATTTCTCAGTCTCGGCAATTTTAAAGACGTCTGGGCTTTCATCTCCCAGAAGTACGTGGCTGGGGAATTCTGGGAGTTGAAGGCCTCACTTCTTAAAATTGCTAAGATTGAGAAACACCATTCTAAATTTCATAGGATTCCAATTTCACCTTCCTTCCTTTTAAACCAGGGGTCTTCAAACTTGGCCCTTTTATGACTTGTACGCTGGCTGAGGAATTCTGGGAGTTGAAGTCCACAAGTCATAAAAGGGCCAAGTTTGAAGACCCCCTGCTTTTAGCCGAAATGGCCAATCCTCAACCTTGATGAGGTCCCAAGTCCCTTTTGGTGGTCTTTCTAACCAGGTTTCCCAACCTTGTCTACTTCTAGGTCTGCGGCCTTTTAAAACCCCCATAATTCTAACAAAGAGCTATGCAGACTGTGGAATTCTGGGGTTTAACATCTGTAGAGATTCTCAATCATCCAGGTCATGGTTGTCCCCCAAAAGACAGCTGGACTTTGGGGGGTCTAACCTGCTTATTCAAAAGGCAGCTGGGCTTTGGGGTTGAATATTTCCTATCTCTCTCTGGTAGAAAAGATCGAAAGGACGGTTCAAATCGAAGCTTCGACTGTCGAGATTGAAGAGCGAGGGGTCAAGCTGCGTCTGACTGTCGTGGACACTCCGGGCTATGGAGATGCCATCAACAGCCAAAATTGGTAGGTTTTGCTCTCCTTTCAAAGACAGCTGACCAATATCTGGGCTTCCTTGGGCCAGACGCCACTCTGCCCATCCCCATCGTTACGCCGTCACCTTCTCATTGCCAGTAAATCTCTCTTGACCTTTTCCTGAGAATCTCTGAATGGCTGGACCTCGGCCACGGTGTTGTCAGAAGAATTTCCTGTTGATTGTATTCCGATGCTTGTGTTTATTCTTTGGAGAGATTTCTTGAAGTTCTGCAGATCTGAGTTCTGCTTTTCCTTTTTTTTCTTTTTTCTTTTAGACCTGGGAGGGAGACGCTAAGCATGGGTGGGAGCACAAGGCGTTCCAAGGCCCGTTGCTACGTCACGGGCTCGAATTTGCTGCAGAGAATTCAAAGGATTGTAGAAACAATATTTTTTTAAATAAAAATAATAATTCCCTGTCAGTTGGAGACTTCCTTTTCCTTCCTCTCCCCAACCAATAGGAAGGTGGTGTTTCTTTTCTATTCATCACCTTCTCACGGCGTTAAGGATGATGTAGGATCCAATCCGAGTCAGTCCCCAGGACCAAAGGGTTGGTATTCCAAGCTTTCAGACTATGTTGGAGCCCATTCTCAAGGAACTTCTCTCTCTTTGGAATGTGTAGTGCAGGGGTCCCCAACCCCTGGTCCATGGACCGGTACCGGTCTGTGGCATGCCAGTAACCGGTCCGCACAAACAAGCCAAGCCCCATCCATGGGATGCAGGCAGCACACAAAACCACACACCCTCCAGTCCATGGAAAACCCTCTCTCCATGGAACTGGTCCCTGGTGCCCAAAAGGTTGGGGACCTCTGGTCAAGGGCAGGGGGTCCCCAACCCCCGGTCCGTGTACCAGTACCGGGCCATAGTATGCCAGCAAACAGTCCGCACAAACAAGCAAAGCCCCATCCATGGGATGCAGGCAGCACACAAAACCACACACCCTCTGGTCCATGGAAAAACCTCTCTCCATGGAACCGGTCCCTGGTGCCCAAAAGCTTGGGAACCTCTGATATAGTGAGTCCAAAAGCTTGGAAAAATAAACCTCTGGTCCCAGTGACCGACCTTGATTGGATCCTGCAACATTATCTTGGGACGCATGTACAGGGAGTCCTGGACTTATGACCACGATTGATCCCAAAATTTCTGTTGTTGTGAGAATTTTGCCCCATTTTATGACCTTTCTCGCCACAGGTGTTAAGTGAATCATTGCAGTTATTAAGTTAGTAACACGGTTGTTAAGTGAATCTGGATTCCCCCATTTGACTTGGCTTGTCAGAAGATTGCAAAAGGGGATCACGTGATCCTCCGGGACACTGCAACCATCCTAAACATGAATGAGTTGCCAAATGTCTGAATTTGGATCACGTGACCACGAGGACGCTGTAATGGTCGTAAGTGTGAAAAGTCACTTTTTTCAGTGCCGTTGGCAAAAAAAACACCCACCCATAATGAACAACATTTCGCTTAACGACTGCAAGCTGAACAGCCACAGTCGTAAAATGGGGTGTAGTCATGCTTCGTGGACACCACAACTTATGACCGTAATTGTGGACTCGGTTATGGTTGCAACTTGGGGATTGCCTTACGCCAGGAAAACATGCAATGATAAGAAAGGAACAAATAGTTTTTTTTCCCAAATCCCTGTCTCATTGTAAAAATTGTTGTTTTTTGTAGAAGTTTTTATTAAGTTTTTTCCATACATACAGCAATAATTTTTCAACCAACGTGCTGTCTGAGTTTACATTTGCTAATACATATTTAATTCTTAATCTTTTATTCTTTCCTCTAGCCGTCGATAAAATAAGTCCCAAGTTTGATAATATTCTGTTTCTTCTTTTTCTTTCAGTCTTATAATCAGTCTGTCCATCTCTGTGCGTTCTAGTATTTTTTTGATTATTTCTTCCTCTGATGGTATTCCTTCATTTTTCCAATATTGCGCAAATATAATTCTTGCCGCTGTTGTGACATGCAAAGCCAAATAAAAGCTTTGTCTATTAAGTCTTTTCTGATATTATACCTAATTAAAAAAAAAAGTTCAGGTTTAAAGTCTGCATGTTCTCCCAACGTCTTTTCTAGCCAAAAATTGTAAAAATTGTTTCTTCTCTTCTTGACCCAGTTTCAAAACCATCATCCATTATATCGACAATCAATTTGAAAGATATCTTCACGATGAGAGCGGCTTGAATAGACGCCATATTGTAGACAACCGAGTCCATTGCTGCTTTTATTTCATTTCCCCTTTTGGACATGGGTAAGTGTTAAGGTGGTTTTTTTTTGTGTCCCAGGATATAAGCCTTGCTGAATAACTTTCTGCAGGGGCCCTTAATCTCCACTTTTTGTATTAGCCAATTCAATTAAAATCATCTTTGGATTTTCCAGACTAAAACCTTTGGATGTGGAATTCATGAAGGCGCTTCATGGAAAAGTGAATATAGTTCCTGTCATAGCCAAGGCAGACACTTTAACTTTGAAGGAAAGGGAACGACTGAAGAGAAGGGTAATTTGTCAACTTTTCTGGGGAATTCTGGGAATTGAAGTCCATCCATCTTGAAGCATGCTGGCTGGGGAATTCTGGGACTTGAAGTCCACCCATTTTAAAGCATGCTGGCTGGGGAATTCTGGGAGTTGAAGTCCACCCATCTTAAAGCATGCTGACTGGGGAATTCTGGGACTTGAAGTCTACCTCCCTTAAACCATGCTGGCCAGGGAATTCTGGGAGTTGAATCTGCCCAACTTCAAGTTGCTAAGGTTGAGAAATATTGAATTAAGTCTTCTTTACATTTAAAGAAACGAAGAGTTTTAAAACTCCTTATTCAACCCCCTTAGCCTCCAGAAAACCACAGTTTCGATCAGAATAGGGCTGGAAGGGACCTTAGAGGTCTTCTAGTCCAGCCCCCCTGCTCAAGCGGGAGACCCTATGCCTTTTCAGACAGCTGGCTGTGCTTAGTTGTTTCCCCTTCTTTAGCCTTGACGTTACCAGCTTGTAAATCCTCGCTGCTTATTTTTACATTAAATGTCCACGGATAGTTTAACAAAAGCCCTGGCCTTCATCTAGAGCAGCAAAAGGGCAAATAAACATCTAGCCCATTGTTTGAGTTTTGGTCCATTTGAATCAGCGTTTTAAAACTTTTTTCCCCCTAACAGACTGGCTTTATAAGGCAAATGTTTCATGTTGATCCAAAGCTTTGAAATTTCAGCTACTGTATATTTTTCTTCCTGAAAACATCTCTTTAGTGCAAAATCTCTAATCAAAGCAGGGGATCAAAATTTGCCATTCTTGGCACCGCTTCGAAGGTTTGGGGTTGTTGTTTTTTAAGATGTTTCTGCCCTTTGGCAATCAATCTAAAGTAAGGATTAGGTGTGTGTTTTTCCCCCCTTTCTGGTTTTTAAAAATTATTTGAATAAGCAGAAAACTGAACGGTGGGTCTTTCTGTTAAGGAAGCCCATCCTGAAGGAATTCCTGTTTTGACTTAATGGAATTGAATCTTCTTTTTTCTTCCAAAAAATAAAAATAAAAATTGAGCCTCTCAAGTGGGAATCGATGTGCGCCCGATTCACAAGCCACACCGTGCCGATTTTTCGAGGAAGTTCAAAAAAAAAAAAAAAAGAGGAATGACTCTGCAGGAAAGGAAACTTTACATTTTGACTTCTTTCTCTCTCTCTTTTTTTTTTTTTCCGCTGGGAAGCCTAATCTTTAAGATGCACGGAGCCTCTAGGGGCCCATAAACTGATGTCTGAAGCAACAAAATGCAGTTTTTATTGTTGGGAGTATGAAACGCAGTTTGTTTTCCTTGAAATTCTTCCTTTCTTTTTTTTTGCTTTTTTCCTTTCAGGAAAGCACTTGGCTGAACAGCTGAGATATATTATTCAGGCACCCTTTGCTGGTTTTCCCGCCATTGTTTTGGGATTTTACAGTTTTATCACCGAGATCTTTGCCCGGAGAAACTGGGCTTTCTTATTCCCCATCACTGACAAACAGCAAACTAGCCAATGTTGGCCAATCCCCTCATGCTGGGTTGTTCCTGGGAGGGGTTTTGCCCTCCTACAACCTATTATTAAAGCTTCTGTGATTTTGCTAATTCTTTAAGTCCTGCCTTTGGAAAATAGCCTGCCAGATGTGCAAAATGCGTGTGCGTTTGTGCTTGGATGGATTAGGTCTGGATGTTCTGTTCTGTTCTGTTGATCTTTGGGAGTTTTATTAATATTATTATTATTATTATTTTGCGGAGAGTTACGTTTTTCTATAAGAGAATTGGTAGAGGTTGAGTGGAGACAGTGATCCCATTTGGAGTAGGGGATACGTCTTGTTACGAAACCAGGCAAACGACTCTGGGCACCGTACCGTGATGGGAAATTAAGAAGATCTTGTGGTTTGACTTTAACTAGGAATTGTATTTTAAATAAACTGTGCTGGGGACCACGGTTTAAGTAAACCAGGAAGGGTGCACGGAGTCCCTGCTTAATAAGATAATAAGCTTAGAAAGCATTGATCAACCAAAACCATACGGCAATTTTTTTTAATGCCTCGGGTATGGTGTTTAACTGTTCTGATTGTGTATTTTGATCTCATAAGGTCTTCCAGAATCCTTTGGAGTGGGCAATGATAATAAATCTAAATAACGGCATCAACATTAACCTGCTTAAAAGCGCCATGGAGCCCAGCATTACAAAATGCAAGAATGAAAAGGAGAAAGCGCAGAAAATAAAAGAAAGAAAAATACATATTAAAGGAAAAGAAACATATAATAAAGAAATGACTTCCGCTTTCATCAGAACAACTAAACAATTTTAGCAAATTGTCATCTTTTCCGAAAAGATGAAAAATGATTTCTTTTTCTGACAAACAGGCTCTCCGCTCGGCTTCATCTCTGAGAAAAACTCCAGAAAAAAATAAACACAGGTCCCACCCTGCAAATCAAATCAGTCAAATAGGGCAGAATCTAAGCCGCCTCTGTGCAAATACAGTTAAGGGCTTTGTCTAGAATCGGAAATGATGGTTTCTTTCTTTCTTTCTTTCTTTCTTTCTTTCTTTCTTTCTTTCTTTCTTTCTTTCTTTCTTTCTCTCTCTCTCTCTCTCTCTCTCTTTCTCTCTCTTCCTCCTCTCCCTTCATTTCTATTCTTTTCTTTCTTTCTTTCTTTCTTTCTTTCTTTCTTTCTTTCTTTCTTTCTTTCTTTCTTTCTTTCTTTCTTTCTTCATTGGTAGGTGTTGGATGAAATATCTGAGCATGGCATCCGGATTTACCAACTGCCCGACGCTGATTCTGATGAGGATGAAGAGTTCAAAGAACAGACAAGAGTCCTGAAGGTAAGCTGATGCCACCATGTCATTACAGAGAGTCCTCGACCTAATGACCGTTCGTTTAACGACCGTTCGAATTTGGAACGCTGCCCAAAAGTGACGAGGACCAGTTGTAAGTCCCCTTTTCCCCCCCCAGTGCTGTAATAACTTCAAAAGGGCGCTAAATGAATGAGTAGTTCAGTATTGTGCCCTTGGATTCTTTCTACAATCAGCACCTCAAGAATGTGCCTTCCTGAATGCCTTTAAGCCCAAATGATGGCATTTCTGAAGGGGGAGCTGTTTTGCTGTTTCTGGGGTCAAATCATGGGTGTCAAGGTTGAAACCTGGGCAGCTACATGCCTTTGCATTTCAACTTGCCTTTAGAGTAAGGTGTGTATTTACTTTCAAGTGGGTCAGATGGGGAAACGAAGCTTCTGTGATTCCACGGGAGTCGGTGAGAGCCTGAAACCTTTTCAAGGACACCAGAACAGGTGCGGAGTTGAAACAGACGGTTCCCAAAACAAAGTGAATTTTGGCTATTTCTTCTCACGGTAGTCTAGGCTTAGCCACTGGTTGTAATAAACCCGGGGTTTGTTAAGTTGAGGACTACCTGTAATACAAAGGAAGAAAATGAAAGGAATGTAAACAGAACAGAAGTAAAATAACAGAACCATAAAATAAGCGAAGACCAAGGAACACTATGAGAATAATACATCCATATGATAACCGACGGTCTCTCCGCTTTCCGATATGGCAGATGACATGGAATTCTTCCTCCTCTTGACTCCTCCAGGCCAGTGTTCCTTTCGCTGTGATTGGGTCCAACCAGCTAATTGAAGTGAAAGGAAAAAAGATCCGAGGCCGCCTCTACCCCTGGGGGGTGGTGGAAGTGGAAAACCCTGAACACAACGATTTCCTCAAGTTACGCACGATGCTGGTGTAAGTAGCGTGCCTTATTTGGCCTCTGTTTGCAGGCAAGCCTTGTGAATTGGGTTAGCTAGCAAAATCTCACAGATATCACTGAGATAAGAGATAGGTATGTAGGTGGGTGGGTGGATGGATGGATGGATGGATATACCGATTGATAGATAGACCGACAGATAGACCGACCGACAGATAGATATAGATATGGATAGATGGATGGATGGATGGATGGATGGATGGATGGATAGATAGATGATAGATAGATAGATAGATAGATAGATAGGGATGGATGGACACACAGACATAAGATAGATAGACTGACTGACAGATAGATCTAGATAATGGATGGATAAATAGATGGCTATAAAGAAAAAGAAAAGTAGAAGAAATGGATAGACTGATAGATATGGATAGATATGGATGGATAGATGGATGGATGGATGGATAGATGGATGGATGGATGGATGGATGGATGGATGGATGGATGGATACATAGACATACAGATAGACAGATAGATAGACCGACAGATAGACTGACTGACCGACAGACAGACAGATAGATCTAGATAATGGATGGATAAATAGATGGCTATAAAGAAAAAGAAAAGTAGAAGAAATGGATATACTGATAGATATGGATGGATGGATGGATAGGGAGACAGATGGATGGATGGATGGATACATAGACATACAGATAGATAGACCGACAGATAGACTGACTGACCGACAGACAGACAGATAGATCTAGATAATGGATGGATAAATAGATGGCTATAAAGAAAAAGAAAAAAAAAAGAAATGGATAGACTGATAGATATGGATAGATATGGATGGATGGATGGATGGATAGGGAGACAGACAGATAGACACCAAGAGACAGATAGAGTGATCAATTCCTGGCTGTTTATCCTTAATTCCATTTTGCATCTTTGGAAAGAATAACTTCCAGTCCAAGCGTTCCCTCTACTGGACAATTTTCACGCTACACTTGAAGATTTTGTCCTGTTTCTTGCTAAAAGTCGTCCCGGCTGCCGAGGCTTTTTAAGCAACTCAATGGAAGACATGCCATTGATTTAATGTCCCTTCTGATTAGCCCCTAATTGTGTTCCTTCTTTCAGGACACACATGCAAGATCTCCAAGAGGTAACCCAGGATTTGCACTACGAAAGCTTCCGGTCGGAGAGACTAAAGAGGACCGGCAAGTAAGTTCTTTGCGTCTCGTTGCTTTCCTACGTTGGCTGCAGCTTCAGGTCTGCCTTATAAAATAATAATAATAATAATAATAATAATAATAATAATAATAATAATAATAATAATAATAATAATAATAATAATAATAATAATAATAAAGTTGGAAGGGACCTTGGAGGTCATCTAAGTCCAACCCCCTGCTCAGGCAGGAAACCCTATACCATTTCGGAGAAATGGCTGTCCAGTCTCTTCTTAAAAACTTCCAGTGTTGGAGCATTCACCACTTCTGGAGGCAGGTGGTTCCACTGGTTAATTGTTCTCACTGTCAGGAAGTTTCTCCTTAGTTCCAGGTCGCTTCTCTCCTTGATCAGTTTCCATCCGTTGCTTCTCGTCCTGCCTTCAGGCGCCTTGGAGAATAGCTTGACTCCCTCTTCTTTTTGGCAGCCCCTGAGATATTGGAACACTGCTATCATGTCCCCCCTCGTCCTTCTCTTCGTTAAACTCCTAATGTTACCACTCCTCTTTGTTATTGGGCAAACTGCAAAAAAGGGCACCAATTTCCTTTTAAATAACCTCTCTGGAGGGTTAATGAGCAGAAACTAGCTATAGATTCAAGTGGCACAATGGCCTATAGGTTCTCCTGCTTGAGCAGGGGGCTGGACTAGAAGACCTCCAAGGTCCCTTCCAGCTTCTACTCTGCTCTGCTCTGCTCTGCTCTGCTCTACTCTATGCCTCAATGTACAATCATGCCGGCCACCTGAAGGGAAGGGTCTTCAACAACGCTGGCTCCCTTGGCCAAGAAACAAATGAGCACTGCCCCCTAGAGGCAGAAATGACTGGGCAGGGGAAACTTTTACCTTTTTAAAACCTTTAACTATAAATTCAGCAAAAAAAAAAAGGATGGTGATTGCAGATGCTCCCCAGAGGTAGAGATTCCAGCCAGGAGGGATGTGAAATGCCATTTAATAGGAGGTTTGTCCTATATGTGAGAACAGACACCACGACTTATACATTCAGAAAGCTGTCACAGAGCAGGCTATTTTCAGAGGCGTAGGTGCTTCAGCTTTTGACAGCCCAAACACCAGCGACTCTCCTGACCCCTTTAAAAACTGACAGATGTATCCTTGCATAACCCGGTTGTTGTTGTTTTTTGCAACTCAGCCTGTTCACAGGGGGTGTCTTTAAATAGTCTGTAAAATCAGACTATTTATCCATCTCATTCTCTTCCCCTCTTCTATTTTTAATCTTACCACCTTGCTTTACAAAGAATTCTGGGGGAAAAAATATGTATACTTACAGGCCATTTTCTAACATCAATTTACCTCATCAGTATCTTAAGCTGCGTGGTTGATTATTATTATTATTATTTACATTGCACCTAACTAGTGAGAAGCCTGTTCCTCTGCTTCTCTTTTGATACGTCTAGAGCATGTGCAGAAATATATATATATATTTTAATTAAAAGGAATGAGCATATAGGCGTGAGTGTAGTTCTTGCCTTTGTGAATTAAAAGACATACATGAAAGAGAGAGCAGAAGGGAATTAAAATTGTCCCAAAGTTGGAGGCTAAGACGGAAGAAGCTATGGAAATTTAGGACATTTCCCAATGTGAAATGGAAGCCAAGAATGGGAAAGAGAAATCAATAATGGAAAACAGGAAAGCTTTCTCTAGACTTCGGAAAGCATTATTAGATTATTATTAGATTCGGAAAGCATTATTATTAAGAGCTGGTTTGATCTAGTGGTTTAGGCACCAGGTTGGGAGACTGGGAGACTGAGTTCTAGTTCCGCCTTAGCTATGAGACCGGCTGGGGGACTTTGGACCAATCACCAGGAGACTGTGAGTTCTAGTTCCGGCTTAGCCATGAGAGCGGCTGGGGGACTTTGGACCAGTCACCAGGAGACGGTGAGTTCTAGTTTCACATTAGGCATGAGAACGGCTGGGGGACTTTGGACCAGTCACCAGGAGATGGTGAGTTCTAGTTCCGCATTAGGCATGAGAACGGCTGGGGGACTCTGGACCAATCACCAGGAGACAGTGAGTTCTAGTTCCGCATTAGGCATGAAAACTGCTTGGGTGACTTTGGACCAATCATCAGGAGATGGTGAATTATAGTCCCATATTAGGCATAAGATGGGTGACTTTGGACCAGTCACCAGGAGACAGTGAGTTCTAGTTCCGCATTAGGCATGAAAACTGCATGGGTGACTTTGGATCAATCACCAGGAGATGGTGAATTATAGTCCCATATTAGGCATCAGATGGGTGACTTTGGGCCAATCACCAGGAGACTGGGAGTTCTAGTCTCACCTGGGCCATAAAAGCTGTCTGGGGGATTTCAGGCCAATCACCAGGAGACTGTGAGTTCTAGTCCCGCCTTAGGCATGAGAGCCAGCTGAGTGATTTTGAGCCAGTCCTTCTCTCTCAGACCAACCCACCTTGTCGTTGATGTGGGTGAAATAAGAGGGGAGGAAGGCATGTTGGATGTGTTCACTACCTTGCGTTATTTGTAAAAAAAATAAATAATCAAAGATGGGATGCAAATAAAATCAATAATCAAAAATCGAGAGTTCTCTTTGTCTGAATTTGGCTTTCCCTGCCAGTTTTTTTTCAGAGGAAAAGTCTACAATTCAGGCAGTGTCCAACTTGTTACAACTGAAACAATACCTGTTCTTTATCTTTTTATTTCTGCGGTCCACAGGCCTGCCGAAGAAGAAGTCCTGGACAAAGACAGGATCCTTCAGCAGAAGGAGGCTGAGGTAAGTAAGGACCGAAAATCCAAACCGGGGGGGGTATACGTTGTGTTCGAATTTAGTTAGCGTTAACCAACAGTGATAAGTCTTTTAAAGGATGCACATTTAACCATGGTTAAAAGAGCCAAGCCAAAAAAAAAAACAGTAAAGGGGCAGAGGATGGCCTAGTGCAGGGGTAGGCAACCTTGGCTCTTTTATGACTTGTGGACTTCAACTCCCAGAATTCCTGAGCCAGCATGGGGGAACTATGGCCCCCTCATGACTCGTGGACTTCAACTCCCAGAATTCCTGAGCCAGCATGGGGGAACTATGGCCCCCTCATGACTCGTGGACTTCAACTCCCAGAATTCCTGAGCCAGCCTGGCTCAGCTTGGAAACCTCTGCCTTTCCCCTCAGCATGGCTGGCTGAGGAATTCTGGGAGTTGAAGTCCACAAGTCATAAAAGAGCCAAGGTTGCCTACCCCTGGCCTAGTGATTGAATTTGTTCTATACCGTATCTCCATTTATTTATTTATTTATTTATTTATTGGGAATTTTATTGAAGAATTGCAGAGTTCTTCAAGGCTTTTCGCTTTACTCTTTGGTAAATCCAGTAGGGAAAAAAAAAATTACCCAGATCGCTTTCTTGGTTTCTCACGTGTATTTTTCCCTTTTAACATTTGAGAATCTGAGCTAGTGTCTGCTGCAGATCCAGTGAAACACCCTTTTTCTAAGCCGTTCTCTTGGCCTGTCCGACGTAAATCCGTTTTTAATACCCTCTCTTACATGTCAAATAAAATTTGTTCTACCTCCTTCAATAACATCTTTGGGACATAATCTATCCACAGAAGCAGACATCACTACTGACGTTGTTGATATTGTGGCTAACTCTTTTTCTGATTCCATTCTTCAAAAATGTCCTTCGGTATTTTTAGTGCCGTAACCATCTTTGCAAGCCAGTTTATCCTTCCTCTTAGCTAAGAAACTGCCTGTTCTCTAAAAGCAGTATTGTAATGTTTGAGGAAGATGGAAAAGCAAGACTAAAAAGACACAGGAAATGGGTTCTGCATTCCTTGGACTTCGTTGGGAGCACAAACATCAATTTCCCTTTTAGTTTGTTTGCTTTTTTTATATATTCTGAGCAATAATAGTGCTTGGGACTCTGTTTACAAACCTGGAAAGTTTATATAACCTCCGAGTGTGTGTTTTTCTCTCTCTCTCTGTGTGATCAAGAGATCAACTTTGGCTCAACAGTCATTCTGGATTTTATCAGGCGATAAAAATCCTTGACTTTTGAGAACCACGAATCTTTTCCATGCTTTGTCTCAGCTGCCAAACAGGCCTGTTTCTTACGGGCCTTCGTTTCGTTTTGTTTTTGCTGGATTTCGCTTCCTGTGTACTGACTTTAAATATCTCTCTCTTCTTCCAAATATAAACCTGGATGCCTTTAAAAAAAAAAAACAAGCCTTGAAACAGGAACTGGTTCTTCAGAAGCAAAAAGCATGATGCGAGTCTCTCATAAAAGCCCACCGGTTTTTATCTGATCTCTGAAATGTAAAAGAGGTGCTTTCTCCTCCTTTAATTCAGCATCGTTTAGCTTTCTCCGTTGGAATATTCAGACGGGAAAATTAACCGGTGCTCTAAAAAAGAAACANGGACTTCAACTCCCAGAATTCCTGAGCCAGCATGGGGGAACTATGGCCCCCTCATGACTCCTGGACTTCAATTCCCAGAATTCCTGAGCCAGCATGGGGGAACTATGGCCTCCTCATGACTCGTGGACTTCAACTCCCAGAATTCCTGAGCCAGCATGGCTCAGCTTGGAAACCTCTCCCTTTCCCCTCAGCATGGCTGGCTCAGGAATTCTGGGAGTTGAAGTCCACAAGTCATAAAACAGCCAAGGTTGCCTACCCCTGGCCTAGTGATTGAATTTGTTCTATACCGTATCTCCATTTATTTATTTAGTTTATTTATTGGGAATTTTATTGAAGAATTGCAGAGTTCTTCAAGGCTTTTCGCTTTACTCTTTGGTAAATCCAGTAGGAAAATTTTTTTTACCCAGATCGCTTTCTTGGTTTCTCACGTGTATTTTTCCCTTTTAACATTTGAGAATCGGAGCTAGTGTCTGCTGCAGATCCACTGAAACACCTTTTTTCTAAGCTGTTCTCTTGGCCTGTGCGACGTAAATCTGTTTTTAATACCCTCTCTTACCTTGTCAAATAAAATTTGTTCTACGTCCTTCAATAACATCTTTGGGACATAATCTATCCACAGAAGCAGACATCACGATTGACGTTGTTGATATTGTGGCTAACTCTTTTTCTGATTCCATTCTTCAAAAATGTCTTTCGGTATTTTTAGTGCCGTAACCATCTTTGCAAGCCAGTTTATCTTTCCTCTTAGCTAAGGAAACTGCCTGTTCGCTAAAAGCAGTATTAGTAACGTTCGAGTAAGATGGAAAAGCAAGACTAAAAAGACACAGGAAATGGGTTCTGCATTCCTTGGACTTCGTTGGGAGCACAAACATCAATTTCCCTTTTAGTTTGTTTGCTTTTTTTATATATTCTGAGCAATAATAGTGCTTGGGACTCTGTTTACAAACCTGGAAAGTTTATATAACCTCCGAGTGTGTGTTTTTCTCTCTCTCTGTGTGATCAAGAGATCAACTTTGGCTCAACAGTCATTCTGGATTTTATCAGGCGATAAAAATCCTTGACTTTTGAGAACCACGAGTCTTTTCCATGCTTTGTCTCAGCTGCCAAACAGGCCTGTTTCTTACGGGCCTTCGTTTCGTTTTGTTTCTGCTGGATTTCGCTTCCTGTGTACTGACTTTAAATATCTCTCTCTTCTTCCAAATATAAACCTGGATGCCTTTAAAAAAAAACAAAAAACAAGCCTTGAAACAGGAACTGGTTCTTCAGAAGCAAAAAGCATGATGCGAGTCTCTCATAAAAGCCCACCGGTTTTTATCTGATCTCTGAAATGTAAAAGAGGTGCTTTCTCCTCCTTTAATTCAGCATCGTTTAGCTTTCTCCGTTGGAATATTCAGACGGGAAAATTAACCGGTGCTCTAAAAAAGAAACA